ACTCCACCACCACGGAGCACTGCTCCACGTTCACCGCGCTCACCGTCGCCTTGTGGACCAAACCTGGAAAAGGCCCGGCCTTGAGCCCCAGGCCCGGCCGCCCCCACGGAGCCCCGCGGCGGGCGGAGGCCCTCGCAGACTCCCCCCCCTCTCCCAGCCCCTCACCGTTGCTCCGCTGGATGTTAACGACGAGGCCCGGGTAGACATTGCGGCACAGGCGGGAGTCCATGGCAGCGGCTCCGGGACAGGGCCCGCGTCCCGCCCCAGCAGCGAAACACCCGCCCGGTAACCGCCGCCGGTTTAAACCCCGCGCGCCGCGGAGCCTGCCGGGAGCCTGCTCGGGACTACATCTCCCAGCAGGCCCCGCGCCCAGCGGAGCTGGGCGCGGGGTCTGCTGGGAGATGTAGTCCCGAGGTGCTCACGTTGTGCTGAGTTGGCCCCCTTTGGGACTCCAGCGCCCTGCTATCTTACTAAGGGAGGTCTGTGTTTGGTCAGGGGGAAAGCTTCCAAATTATTGGCGCAGAACGTTCCTTTAGCCCTCGGCCCATCTCCTCGCAGTCCCCCCCCCCGCATCCAGTCAGGATGGGTCGCGACTGTAGCAGGGTGTTTGTTGGGTTGGACAGCGTCTCTCCAGATCCTGGGGCAGGTTTGTGGACAGTTCCCCCCCAGTCTCTAGGGCGTGTTTTGGGGTAGCGTCCCGAGAAATAGTCACCCTGTCTCAAAACAGTGATAAACGGCAGTGACTCAATATGACAGACAGATCAGCGAGCATCTCTCTCTTTAGCAGGGAAGGAACAGCCTTCATTTCGTCAGATCTGATGTGTTTATACACTGCAAATTTCTAGCTCGCGGGAATACATTTGAATTCTATTTTTCACCAATGTAGGGATAGCTCCACCGAAATAGAGCCTCAAAAAATTATTCGACACTCGTGCTTGTTCCTCTCCACGGAAATCTTTAGTAAAAGGCGAAAGATTTATACGATCTGAAGAGAAACCAGAGTATAGCCCTCCTTCTCTCCCCGACCCTGCCCCCGCCTGCCCCATGCCCCGCACCTCAGGGTGACCCGGGCTCGCCCGGCGCTCCCGGCCCCGCGGCCCGGCCCGGCCCGGCCCCTCGGGTTGCACCCACCGGGCGGCCCCGACAGCCCGGGCGGGGCAGCGGCAGCAGCGCCGGACACCGGCGGGGCCGCGGGGCACGCTGGGTATGCAAATCACCGGTAACGGGGCGGGGCGGGGCGGGATCGGCCTCCTCCCCCCCCGGGGCTGGTGACGGTTCGCATCAGCAGGGTTGGAAAAGACCTCTGAGGTCATCAAGTCCACCCTTGATCCACTACCTTGATCCACTACCACCGCGGTTACCAGACCGTGGCACTCGGTGCCACATCCAGTCTCATCTCAAAAACTTCCAGGGACGGAGAATCCACCACTTCCCTGGGCAGCCCGTTCCAATGCCTGATTACCCTCTCTGTAAAGAATTTCTTCCTGATATCTAACCTAAACCTCCCCTGGCAGAGCTTAAGACCATGCCCTCTTGTCTTGCTGATAGTTGCCTGGGAGAAGAGACCGACCCCCACCTGGCTACAACCTCCTTTCAGGTAGTTGTAGAGAGGGATGAGGTATCCCCTGAGCCTCCTCTTTTCCAAGCTAAATAACCCCAGCTCCCTCAGCCTCTCCTCATAGGACTTGTGCTCAAGGACTCGTGTTCAAACAGAATTGTAGGATTTTTTTGGGTTGGAAGGGACCTGAGAGATCACGTCATTCCCATCCCTGTGCCGTGGGCAGGGGCACCTTCTGCTATGGCTGCTCAAAACCCCATCCAACCTGGCCTGGAACACTTCCAGGGATGGTGCAGCCACAGCTTCCCTTGGCAACCTGTGCCAGGGCCTCGCCACTCTCACAGGGAAGAGTTTCTTCCTAATATCTAATCTAAATCTACCCTCTGTCACTTTAAAACTATTTCCTCTTGTCCTATCACTACATACCTTCATAGAAAGCCGTTCTCTGTCTTTTTTATAAGCCCCCTTTGAGTACTGGAAGGCCTCAATAATGTCTCCCTGGAGCCTTTTCTTTTCCAGGCCCAACAACCCCAGCTCTCTCAGCCTGTCTTCCCAGGAGAGGGACTGCAGCCTTCTGAGCATCTTCGTGGCCTCCTCTGAGCTTGCCCCAACAGGTCCATGTCTTTCCTGTGCTGAGGACCCCAGAGCTGGATGCAGCACTGCAGGTGGGGTCTCACCAAAGCCGAACAGAGGGGCAGAATCCCCTCCCTCGACCTGCTGCCCAGGATACAGTTGGCTTTCTGGGCTGCATGCTTGGCTCACGTCCAGCTTTCCAGCCACAGGAACCCCCAAGCCCTTCTCTGCAGGGCTGCTCTCAAGGAGCTCTCCCGTCTTTCTCCAGTTCTTCTCCTCTCTGGGACTGCCCCGACCCAGAGGCAGCATCTTGCACTTGGGCTTGTTGAACTTCGCGAGGTTCTCGCGGGCCCAAGTTTGCCCAGGTCCCCCTGGATGACACCCTGTCCTTCACAATCCTCCCCCTGCAAACTGGCTGGGGGTGCACCTGATCCCACTGTGTCACTGATAAAGATATTAAAGGGCCCTGGACCCAAGACAAAGCCCTGAGGGACAGCGCTTGTTGCCAACCCGAGCCTCGACGTGAAACTGATGCCGAAAGATTTTTAGGCATTTTGTGGATTTTAATAGAGCTGTATAGTTTTCTTTCACCTTAGACACTTTAGACAGCTACGAAAGCCTTTCCTCATGGTTTGTGCAACATTCCAATGAATTACTGTTTAGCAGTTTTTCCAAGGAAAGATCTTTTAGCAAGGACATCCAGTTTGGGACATGCACGTGGATCAGGATAATGATATATATTTTTAGTCAAAACAAGATAGAGGGCCCGCAACCCTTGGAGGGGGCTCAGTCGGGGCAGTTCTGAGGGTGGTACCAGGGGCAAAATAGTTTTTGGGTTGGATGTGCCCACTAGATATGGCAATTAGTCAAAGAGATGAAAGAGTGAGAATTCTGTATGGGTGCCTGTGCGCTCCGTGTACCTGAGAGCTTTCATTAAAGCACTGCTCTCTACCTTATCTACTCTGATTTTAATTGGACAGTTTTCTCTTCCAATTTTGGCATCAAACCTCATGACCTCAGGTTCTGGGCTATATATCTATCCTGCCATGTCCCTCAACTCATCCTTTATATCTCTCAAGAGTATTGTGGGAGTTAACATCGATCTAGGCAGAAGTCACTGCTCCACTTCATTTCTGAATTTTAGACGCACCAGCATAGATATTCTTTTCTCTATTTTTTACCAGAATAGGGGTAGCTCCACCGAAGTGGAGCCTCAAAAAATTCAAAAGCACTCGTACTTGTTCCTCTCCACGGAAATCTTTAGTAAAAGGCGAAAGATTTATACGATCTGAAGAGAAACCAGAGTATATCTCCCATTACTACCCTGCACATACCGACTCACAATTGTCCCTCTATAGCTAATGGCGACCCTCGCGGCCCTGAAGCTCGACCCCCCCGGCCGCCCTGGCCCGTTTCGCTGGCCCCACACACGGTTCCAACGCCGCGCTCGGGGGCGGCGATCCCGGGGATCGGCGGCGGAAAGCGGTACCGGGGCCGCCGCGCCGCGCGCGGAGCACCCTGGGTGCGGAAATTAACACGAATGCCAATGAGCCATATGCTAATGAGGATGGCGCGGCACTGCCGGCCCACGGTGCACGCAAATGAACAGGAATGCTAATGAACCATAGGCTAATGAGGATCCCCCCCCCGCCCGCAGTCCCGGTGCGCCAGGGCCCGCCCGGCGGCGCTGGAGCGGTGACCGGGGCGGGGGGGCAGCACGGACGGGCCCGCGACCGGCACAGCCCTCGCCGCCATCCCCCGCCGCGGCGCCGCCGCGTTGCCAGGCAACGGCGCGGTGACGTCACGCCTCGCGAGAGCTCGCGCCGCCAAGCCGCCCCGCGAGCGCTGACCCCGCCTCTTTGCGCCGGTGCCGCAGGATGGGTGAGTGCCGCGGGCCCCGGCCCGGCGCCATCCGCCGCCATCCGCCCTCCGCGCCGCCGCCGCCGCCCGCCGGGCCCCGCCGGGGAGCTGCGCGGGCCGCCGCCCGCCCGCCCCGCCCGCCATCGGCGGCGGCCGCGGCGGCGCCGAGCCGCGGGCAGCGGGAGGGTGGCCGGGCCCAACATGGCGGCGGGTGGAGAAGGAGGGGGGGGTTGGAGCGGGCCCGCCGCGCCGTTCCCTGCGAAGCCCGAGCGCGGGGCTCGCTCCCGGTGCTTGCTGCGGGGCGCCCCGCGGATGAGGCAGGACGGCCTTCCATCGGGAGGGGCGCGGGTGGCCTTGTGGAACACCGGGCTGGGTGGCGGGGCCTTGCGACCTGCGTGAGGTGCCGTGCACCGCAGAGATGGTCCTTGCTGGGGACCCAGCAGATCGAGTTGGTTTGGGGTGTCTCTCACAGGGGCACAGCCAACAGGTAGCGTGGGGGTCCCTTCCCATAGCGGACCTGCCACACCCCGCTGGTAGCGCGGGGTGACTGCTGCAGTGCGACTGCTGTAGTGTGCCTGCAGCTCGGGATCGGGCAATTCCCTTGGAGTCCCCAGCACATGAGGTAAGTTGGGCGATGCTTCCCAAAGAGGACACAAAGAAGGGAGTCTTGTCTGCTTTGTGCATCTTTTCTGGGAGGGATATGCGCGAGGCAGGTCTGAGTATCAATGATGAAGCTTCTCTAACTGCTGCATAAGGCCGAGTGCGCTGTGCGGATACAACCTTGGAGAACTGAGGACTCAGAACTGAGGAGTGTGCCCTGCTGCAGCCAGGTGAGCTCCTGCCACCCTCTGACCACGCTGCTCTCATCCAGGTATCTCCAGGGACAACTGGCATAAGCGCCGCAAGACCGGGGGCAAGAGGAAGCCCTACCACAAGAAGAGGAAGTATGAGCTGGGGCGACCTCCAGCCAACACTAAGGTGAGTGGTGTGGGGAGGGTGTTTTTGTTTTCAAGCTCAGATTGCTGGTCGTGTCCTGTTAAAAGTTTAAATACGTCCTGTTTTGTGAAGGGTTGAGTTTCTGGTACTGCTGCATCAGAAAGGTGGCACTTTCCCCTGCGCAGATGGAAGGCAGAGAGAGGTTTTTGCAACGAGAGGCAATTGGAGTGATGAAACTTTCGCCTTAGGCAGACGCATCAGACCGTTCTGGTCGTTTTTCTGTGTCTGCCGATGCTGGGGCTTGTCATAGTTACACTGACCACATTGCCTTGGGTATTGGGAACGTTCTGGGCCCCTGCGTGAGCCGTGCAGTGTTCCAGCACCAATGGCACCCTGCTGTTTGTTCCTGGCTGCAGATTGGCCCGCGCCGGATCCACACAGTGAGAGTTCGTGGTGGGAATAAGAAGTACCGAGCCCTTCGGTTGGACGTTGGCAACTTCTCCTGGGGGTCGGAATGTACGTACATCCTGAACCTGGTGTGTGGAAGGGAGAGCTGTGCTGGTCTTCCGAACTCCTGCGGAGCAGAGGGCTGGTGGTGCGAGCATGGATTTGTGGGCTGGGGCTGAAGAGTGCTGGCTCTGGAGCAGCATGCATAGTGATGATAACTTTGACCTTATGTGGCCTTAGGGGACTTGGATGTCTGCTAAGTTCACAGTGATGGGAGTGTCATAGTTACACTGAGTGGCATGCTTGTGTTACCTTTTAACAGGGTGGGGGGACTACAGAGGGGCAAAAAGCCTAAGTATGAGTGGTTTTTCATGAATGCAACCTTTGCTTATTGATGAGCGTGGTTACTGAAAGCTAAATGGTTCTGAGGCGTCTTGCTGTCTGCAAATTTATTTTTTGGCATTGCTCAGATGTATTTGAGATGAGCTCCAGCGCTGCCTCCAATCGCGGTTTTTAATTCGGTGCCAGGCAGGCTGGGGGGCAGTGGATGGGCTGATAGATGCGAGGTGTGAGATGCTGTGGGCCGTGCTCTCCGTTGTCTGATCCCTGTAAGGTCTGAATTCATGCTCGCTCTTTTGAAAGGCTGCACTCGCAAAACCCGAATCATCGACGTCGTGTACAACGCTTCCAACAACGAGCTGGTGCGGACAAAGACCCTGGTGAAGAACTGCATCGTGCTCGTCGACAGCACCCCGTACCGGCAGTGGTACGAGGCCCACTATGCTCTGCCCCTGGGACGCAAGAAGGGCGCCAAACTGGTACGTCTGGGACCGCCGTCCTGACTTCCCTGCAGAGCAGAGTCCGCCTTTCCAGAGGCATTTCTCCATCCTGAACGGACAGTGCTGCCAGAGTGGGGTTGGGTACCCGGCAGTGATGGTGTTGATTATCCAGGCTGTGCTCCCCAGGGTTCCCCAGGATAAGTGTGGCTCTGTCAGTGGAGCTCCCTCTGAGGCATTTGCACCCCTTTGTGCACAAGGACCTGCCTGTTGATCTCTTTGTCTTCTAATGATGATACTCTTGTCCAGTTCTGCTACTGAAGGGACTGCGATGACATTTTATGATGCTGAGGAAGACTTTGCAGGTCGGGTTCTTGTGGTGGAGAGCGATTGCTTTGGGGAGGAGCTTGTGGATTACTAACTGAACTTCAGTGTGTTTTTAAATGCCTTGAAACAGGAGAAACGGGAACAGGAAAAAAATCCAGAGCCATAAATTTGTTGAAGGTCCAAACCCCAGACTGCTGGAAGGTACTTAGGCCACCATGTGTAGCGTTCAGGTTTAGGTTGTCTCCTTGCATTAAAAACAAAGCACTTCTCATTTGAGTGCTGTGTAGTGCAGGAGCAGGGAAAGAGCTTGTAACCCGTCTGTGTGCACTTGCGCCACACCCAAGTGCTCTCATTATGTCTGCAGAGGGAGGGTTTTTTGGAGGAAAATTAATTGATCAAGGAAGCCTTTGCCAGCTTCATTTGCCTGAGAGCAGCCTTCCCTAGGGCACTGTGCTCTGTTGTCATCGGTGACTCTGGTTAGCAGCACTGCCTTTCTTGGTCTCAAAAGTGAAACACAGCACCTGGTTCTGTGAGTTTAAACTATTTGTACCTCAGCCAGGTATGACTTGGGAAACAGTACAGTGCTGAGAATACAAGGGTCTCCTTCATGTCAGTGGGAGGCACCTGTGCTAGTGTGGAAGGTGGCCATTTGTTTAACTCCTTGTTCTGCTTACGGTCTCGTTTTTAGACTCCTGAAGAGGAGGAAATACTGAACAAGAAGCGTTCAAAGAAGATCCAGAAAAAATATGATGAGCGGAAGAAGCATGCCAAGATAGCAAATATTCTTGAGGAGCAGTTCCAGCAAGGGAAGCTACTTGGTGAGTCCCTGGCAGCATTAATGTGGGTGGGGGTATGGGAGTCAGGGCACAAACAGGGTGGCAGAGCAAATCTTAATCTTGTTTTGGGATCATTTAAAGTTCTGATAAAGCTCAGTGCAGTGGAGTGTTCTCCATTGTCTGCAGGAGTGTCTTCTGGGTCTTAAATGTTCTTTTGTCTTCTCTGGAGATACCTCACTTGTGGCAGAGGGGGGGAAATCTGCTTCTGCACCTTGAATTACTACATGTATCAGCCAGGCTCCTGAAGTTGATTATTCCTGGTTGGCCTTTGAGAAAAAAATGGGGTCAAGACTTGCAAAATAAGCAAGTGTCTGTCAGGAAAATGCCCTACAGGCATCTGACAGCTTTGATGTTTAAAGCTCTGGCAAATAACACTTGAGTGTTCTGAAGTCTTCTGGTGATGAAACCTTTGTCCAGTTCTGCTGCTGAACCTGAGCGATGACAGTTTGGAGATCTGAGGAGGACTTCACTGGGGGTATCTGCAGCTGGGCAGGTTCCAGAGTGCGGTACCTCAGCAGAGGGGCAAAGCCAGCACGTAACCTGGTGACTGGGTTACTGATGAGTTGCTCGTGCGTGCTGCTGCAGAGAGGCTGTGTGCCAGTGCCTGTTCATCGCTGTGTGCGCTGGGGGGTGAATTGCTAAACTTCATCTGCATGACTTCTCCTTGCAGCCTGCATCGCCTCCAGACCTGGACAGTGTGGCCGAGCCGATGGCTACGTGTTGGAAGGCAAGGAATTGGAGTTCTACCTGAGGAAGATCAAGGCCAGAAAAGGCAAATGAATAAAAACTGTTTATTCACAGTCCAACTGTGCTGAGAGAATGAATAAAGCCAAGAGTTTACCCCAGTAACAGGTTGTGTGCTCATTTGTGTGTGCAGAATGGAGAGGGCTTGTGTAGCTCTGCCCACCGGTAAAATGTGGAAGAAGATGGATCTCTAGTAATCTCTGAGTACTTCAGTGTTTTCAGGCAAAGCTTGACCCTGCGTGCTCTCAATTAAAACATCTCCCTGGTTCTGGGACAGTGACTTACAGGACCAGGTGAGTGTGGAAAAGAGTTTTCAGACTTGGCTGAGATGGAGATGTCCAGTACTGGAAACCAACAGGCAGGAGGAAGGTGTGAGTGTCCAACCCCCATTACGAGTTCTGGCTTCCTGGGAGCTCCAACTCCTTCCTCTACTTTCTCCATGGGATGTGCCCCCACGCCCTGGTTCAGGCCAGCAGTCTCTTTTGCTGTTGCGTGGTGTTTCCTGCCTGGTTGTACAGTTGCCTGCAGGTCCAGTATCTTTTAACTAAACTTGGCTGCACTGCTCAGTGACCAGCTGGCCTTTCCTTGGCCTTCTTGGTCTCATTCCAGTGCAAGATCAATTCCTTCTAGCAGAAGGGCCAGGCTCGCATCGTGGTCTGTCCCTTTCGAAAGCTGGATACAAACTCCAGCGTTCTGCCCTGTCGCTTGGGGTGGAATTGGATAGCTGTGGTGAACAAAAGCTTTTCTGGATGTTCTGGGCAGGTGATGTCAGTTCCTTGGGGCTGCTGTCCCTCGGGAAAGCCAGCGCAGTGGAGCTCTGCAAGCAGTTGGGCAGTGCATTGTGCAGGTACTGGGGTGAAGTCAGGAGCCCATCTGAGGGCTGGTCTGGTGCCTTGGGGAAGGTCGGGCTCACACACCTTGTGCCTGCCGGGTGGAGGCATCACACTCTCCACCCCATTTCTGTATCTTTACAAAAGCCTCGGTTATCCACAGGATCACCTGTGTGAGTCAGGCTGCCTGCAGCCCCTGCCTCGTGATTTTCAGCTCTGAACAGAAGGAGGTGGCCCATGATCACCCTGCCCCAAGCACAGCCGTGGTGTCAGACCCAAGTCTCTAGTGCCTTAAAATGCAACTGTCCCGAAAATAGCTTGGGTTTGGGGTTTTTTTTGAAGTTTTTTGCTGTGATGCTGTGCCCCGGCTGCCGCGTGTGACAGCAGGAGGTGCTAGCGGGCTCAGGCGACCTGGGCAGCGTGGGTTCATCCTGCCCTGTCAGGGAGCTGAGGGTGAGTCTGTGCCAGATCTAGGGACACACCAGCACACTGGGGAGCTGCACCTGTTCCCGTGGCCACAGCAGCACGTTGTGATGTCGGGTGTACGTTGGCACCGCCTCGCAGGTTGTGTTTGTGCTCGTGGGCGCTGCGAGCAGAGCCGTGCCCAGCTGGGTGCCACTGGCCGCGCTTCAGGAGTCCCTGGCGGTGGGACCTGGGCAGGGCGGGATGTTTGTACAAGCACATTCCTTCTCCATAGTAATGCAGCATAAACTTTCCCTGCTCTCCAGCAACGCCTGCTTTCCAGAGAGGTGGAGCGGAGGCGATAAGGGCGCTTGGCAGGGATGCGTCATGGCTGCTTCCTCTGAGCGTGTTTCTTCTCTCTCCTCCGCAAACAGGATTCAGGGTGTTTCTGGGGGACTTTGTACGGATGGAGAAACTGAGGCCCACGGATCAAATGCCAGCTTGGTGTCAGAGCAGGAGCTTTAATCCTGTCCCCTGATGAGTAGGATTATGGCTCATCAATGCACACACTGCTTACGAAGTTACTGCCGTGAGAAACAGCTGCCAAGGGCAACCGCCCATGGGAACAAAAGCGGCACTCGGGGCCCGCTGGAGGTGTGGCATGGAAACAGGATGGTGGCAGCTGGCTCCCAAGGTGGCACAGGCTGTGGGACCTCATGTGGCTTGGCTGTGGGATGCATAGCTCCTGGTCCGGCCTTGGCACAGCCCTGTGGATGGCACAGGGATTGACCTGCCTGGAAGGGGGCAAACCTGCCATGTGCTGAGCCGGGAAGGGATGGGCAGGGGCTAAGCACAGCTTTAGCCTGGCTAGACCTGGGCTTAGCCTGGGCTAAGGACCTTACCCGCTTCTACAGATAGGTGCAGGGTCTGAATTTTAAAAAACTGCTTTCATAGGATGAGCAGCTGGCAGCACCTATGTGAGGTCACTTGTCCTGTGTCCTGCTCCTTGCTGTTGAGTGGCTCTCTCAGCTCCATGCAGCATTAACTTTGAGGTATTTTCACAGGGCATGGTCCAGCTCAGAAAATGATGTTGCACTTTAACACGTCCAGCAGTTGCCTGGAAGGCAGCGGAGGAAGAGCAGGGCTTGTTTATTGGGAGGATTCAAAAGCTCTAAAGGAAGAGGGGCTTTCAGGAAAGGGAACTTTTTAACTAATATTCTTAGGGGGGAAAGCACAAATCTGAGTGCAATAATCCTACAAGGGCTGAAAACACATTCCTGGATTTTTTTCCTGGCTGTGTCACTTGGTCCAATACCTCACAACCATCAGTGGTGTTGGTCCTTGGGCTGTGCCCCAGAAGAATGCGTGGACCCTTTGGCAAAATCCAAATTTACCCACTTTTTGGATAAATGTAATGTCCCTACTGTCTCACTGAGACAATAAGCTTGTACAGCAGGCAAGAAACTTGTACAGCAGCTTGTAGATGCTGCTTTTCCAAGGGAAGAGCAGCTTGGAGAAACCTCCAAAGTGAGAGTTGGTGACTTTCAGTGTGTAGGAAATAGTCCTCGTGGCTCAGCCCTGCACCTTGGTGGAAGGGTCCTTATCACTGGTTGCTGGCTAAACTGAGGACAACGGGGGCTCCAGCCACCACCCAGGCTGTGGGGCCTGGGGACACAGACTCTCTCCCATGCCAAGCACTGTGGCCCGTCAGCAGGATTGCCCTGCCCTTCCCATGCCTGCTGCAGCCACTGCCTGCTCCCTGCCTGCACCCCCACCATCCCACCAGTGCCTCTTCCTTGCCCATAATTAACCCAGAATGGGCTGGTCACACCTCCCTGCCATTGGTCACAGAGATCTGGGTGGGGACTGCAGGTACTGGAGCTGGGCAAGACCCAGTGGGGTAGTTTGGGCTGCTACCCTTTTCAGCCGAGGCAGCTGAATTTAAGCTTCTTGAGAAGGAGGGCGAAGGACAGGGCTTTGCATCACTCCCAGCACCGTTAGGAATGGGACCCTGGGGTACATGGCCAGAGGGGGCACCCAGGGTGGGATTATTTCTGGAGCACAAGTGAAAAATGCGGCTATTGCTGCCCAAGTCCAAGTCTGAAGCTGTGGGCTGGGCTGCAGCCCCTGGGGACAACTGCTGACCCTGCCTGTCCTGCCTCTGCCCCAGAGCAGCTCCTGGTCCCTCTGTGTCCCTGGGGCAACTTGGGGACGGCGTGAGCTGGGGTACAGTGGTATGCCCTGGCTGTAGTACCTGGCAGGGGGTGATGGAGGCACATTAAAAGCTGGCTTCAGGACACTTTCCCAGTTCCCAGGAGGACAAAAGGAGAAGAAAAATTCCAGCAGGGTATAAAACGGTGGGAAACATCCATGAGTGACAAGAGACATACAGGGAAATCAGCCCATGGTCATCCCCAGTCTGTGCTGGAGCTGAGATTGAGCTCTGCCCCAGGGTCCACGGCTTGTCCCACCATGGGCTGTTGGAAGCCACACTGAGCTCCGCAGGAAACGCCACTTCCTTTGCCGGCCGGAGTGCTGCGTCCTGCCCTGCCCGGCTCCCTCCCTTCCTGCCTGGGCACCAGGCCCAGACAGCTCCAGAGCAGGCAGAGCTGCTGCTGGGGCTTCCAGCCTGGAGAATATCCCCCTGGGCAGAGGGAGCAGGGCTCGAGGGTGGGTGCCTGCACCCCTCCACAGGGAAGGGCTGGAGCACCCACGGGTGAGACTTGCCAGGGGTACCTGTGCTGGGGGGTGATTTGCAGCACCCTCAACCTTTGCCCCGTTCCCAGGAACTCCACAAATCTCTGCCCTGTTCAGGAACTGTGGCGTTTATAGCAGGCTGACACCTTTCCTAGCTGGGCTGTAAATCTCGGTGTAAGGCAGAGGTTCTCTGGTCTGCAGCCAGTGCCCAGCTCTGCTCCACCAGGCTGACAAAGCAGCTCTTGAAATGCTGGGGGAGACCCACAACGGAACATTACCTGAGGCATGGGAGGGGAGATGGCGCAGGAAGCCCACCATCCCTGCCCTCCCCACATCCCTATGGTTGGCTTCCCACCACCCTAAACCACACAGACACAGAGATAGAGCCACACTGCTAGGATTAAAATTATTTATTTTTTATGGAGGGCTGGATGCTACAAGGGCTGGGCAGCACACCAGGCAGGGGAAGTTGCAAGGGGCCCTCTCTGGTGCCTCCCAGTGTGTGTGGGCACCTCGAACACCCTCACACTCACCTGTGCACAATCCCTGCACACACTTGTACATAGAGCAGCACACCTGCACTGGCTGTTTTAAGTCCCCATGCCACGGTGGGATGTGGGGTGGGCAGCAGGCAGGGCCACCCCAGGTTCCCCCTGCCAAGCCCAGGGCACACCATCCATATGTGACAGCCCCTGCAGACCACACAGGCAGGGCCAGCCCTTGTCCCCAGACATGTCCCTAGACCCTGTTCTCTGTAGGCTGGGGAGTAAAAGCTCCATGCCAGATGCCATCTGGCTTCAGCAAGAGAGGATGGAGGCTCTTGTCAGTGGGTCTGGCACACACAGTATTGTCACCTGCTCCCCCAAACCAGCCCCCACCTCCTCTCCATGTCCTTCCTCAGGCATTGATAACCCACATGTCCCCAGACACCACCAGCCTGCGGCAGGGTCCCCAGGGCCTGAAGCACCCTCAGACCACCTGCCCAGCTGCAGCACATGGCAAGCGATGGGTGCAATGGCAGCGCTGGGGAAGGGATGGGTATTTGGGGATGCAGCTTTGCAGACAGCCACTGTAAGCCATGGCAGGGCAGTTCATGCCTCTCCTGCTCTGCTGGCTTTCACTCCTGCCCAGCCCCTGCCATCTTGCTGGTGTGTCCCAGACACAACCTGAGTCCTGGTGTCAGTGCAGGTCAATGGTCTCATACTCCAGGTTGTCTGAGTCCTCCAGCTCGATGCCAGGTACCAGGTTGTAATAGTTGGTTGACTGACTCATGTAGATCTTCTCCCGGTCAGCAGAGTCCTTCAGGACTTCGCTCACGCTGACAGTGTCCACCTCTGGCTCACTGCCCCCCAGCTCCTCTGCCCTTGGTGCCGAGGTGCCCAGCTGCCCTTCGTGGGTTGACACCTGGGAACTGCTGGGGGATCCCACCTGAATCTCCACCTCCTCATAGAGGTCTCTCCCACTCTCCAGCGGTTCTGCAAAGGGCTGGAGCAGGACCTGTCTCCCCAGCAGCACTTTTTTCTCAGTCTCAGCGGGAGCAGCAGGCAGCTCGTAGGGGTTGTAGTGGTGGGGCTCTGCAGACACTGGCACACTGCCCCTCTCTGCTGTGGCCCGGTGGCTCTGGGACCTGTTCTGAAAGTTGTAGTTGGTCCTTTTCTTCTGCCTGCAGAAGCACCAAGTGATGCTGGCGAGGATGAGGAGAGGGGGCAGGCAGATGAAGAGGGCAGTGAGGCTGTGGGAGCGGCACAGCTCATCCTGGGGGATGCTCTGGAGGTCCACGCCGTGGTACCGCTCCGGCGTGTGGCAGATAACATCAGCAGCCAGGCTGGGCCAACCCACCAGGGTGGTGAACAAAGCACAGCTGCAGTCCCAGCTGTTGTTGGAGAGCTGAAGCTGGAGCAGAGTTGGCTTCAGGAGGCTGGAAGGAAGGAAGGTCAGGGCATTGAAGCCCAGGTAGACCTCCTGGACCTGGGATGATGCTTTCAGGAAGGACCTGGGTAGCTCCTGGAGCTGGTTGCTGTCCAGATAAAGAACCCTCAAATTAGGGGCATTTTCCAGAAAGCTTCCAGGGAGACTTTCCAGCAGGTTGTGACTTAAGTGCAAGATCTCCAAGGCAGGGGGGACTCCCTGTGCGTTGCTGATAGCTGTGATACCACAGTGTGAGAGGTAGAGCTCCCGCAGCCCCCGCACCCCCACCAGTGCACCCCAGTCCAGGTGGGTGATGTTGGAGCTGGTGAAGTTGAGGCAGCAGCTCTCAGGGAGTGGAGCCTCCCGGAAAGCTTGGAAGTCCATGGGCTCTGAGCAGTTGCAGATCGGCGACGCTGGGTCGAGGGCAAGGCCGGCAACGAGCAGGAGGCTGCCCCAGAGGGACACGGTCCCCAGCCCGGCGCCTGCGGGGAGAGCAGAGGGGGACGGTGACTCCTCGAGCGACCTGCCCTCCCGCTCCCCTTGCTCTAGCCCTCCCGGCAGGTGTGTGGGCGTGTGTGTGTGTGTTTGAACCCCGCTTTTCCTCCCACCTAGGAAAGGGACTCGGTCCCCGCAGATCCTCCCGGAGCCTCTCCCGATACCAGCACCCCTCGCCAGCCCGGGGCTGCCTCCCGCCCGACGTCCCGCTGCTCCGGC